AGGCTATTTTTGGAAATTTGTAACATCACTTTGGAATTATTCACCACTATGATGTTTGACATGTGTAATCATATAGACGCTTATGTCATTAACCATCATGACGCTATTAATGAAACAATAATGAAAAATTAATGACATCGCGGGATTAGCTATCAGTGCTGTAGTTCTTACAAAAGTTTCATAATCAAAGTTATGAATATTTAATATTCTTTTGCTTGATAGAACCACACTTTTTTTGTATGATTGGGTGCTATGAAGCTCAATCAATCAGTGTTACGGTGCCAATCAACCAAGAAAATAATGGTTCTAAATGATCATTTCTCAAGGTTTAGAAATGCAACACTTATTTTCAAATTTGTTATTACAAATATGATCCAAGCACTATGATTTCAATGATAATAATTTTTTTTTTATGTTACTGCTTTCTCCTATGTATATAATATTTTATTTTATTTATGTGTAATAACATTTCAAAAAATTAGTCCACCATTCACTAGTAATTCTGATAAGCTCAAGACTAGGTAGACTATGGTTACAGTCAATTTTCATTTTATTCTATATTTTTTCCTTTCCTGAGTCGTATCATGTAATTTGGTGGATATCATTACTGAGTAACCATATACACATATAAGGGAGAGAGAAAAATATTTTTTGAGAGATCTTTTTAAGTACATCGTACTGTATGATTTTGGCTTTATATTGTACGACCTTATTTTGTACTATATGATTCTAATTAGTACTGCATAATCTGTTATGCTCTATCAAAACCCTAGCCACTAGAGGTTAAGAAAGACACTAATTATATGCTAATTATATAGTATAATTTAGTTTTTATTATACATCATAATTAAAATCTTTCTTAATTAATCCCTTAATATGAGGAAAATCAAATCATTGACAATTATTATAAACAATCATATTATACGTATAGTCCATATTGTACGATTGTCTGTATATTAAATTGGTCATCCAGAAGATCTTTCTAAATGAAATCCATAATTTTTATAATGATCATTTTAAATGATGTCCATAATTCTGGATGATCTATAATGTACAAAGATGGTGGTCCAAAATGAATAAAAGGAATTTCTATAGTTCGTACCATACAATGTTTGGATTGTACTATACAAAATATTATAAAGGTTGAACATTTCATCTACACGACCTTGTTGTACGAGTCTGAATTTCACTAATCATACGGTACGATACATATTGTATTATATAAATAAAAGATGGATTTATTGAAATTTAGGGTTTCTTGAAGCCCACTACTTAAGATTTTCTAATACTCTTATTAGAAAATGTTTGGCTATTGAGACTTCAGGAGAGAGAGAGCCTTGAGGGAGAAAAGAAAGAAAGCTTTATGAGAAGAGAGAGAGAGAGAGAGAGAGAGATTTTATGAGGGAGAAGTTGTGAGAGGGCTCACAAGGTTGCTCCAAGCAAGAATCTTGCCTAGTATCTTCAAGCGTCTACCTGAATTCTTTGTGGCTCTAGAGAAGTTCTTTAGCAAAGATAGTGGTTCTCTAACCATCACCTAGAGGGTAAAAATAGAGTTATGGTTCTCTAATCTTCACCTGGAGGGAGAAAATAGAGTTATGGTTCCCTAATCATCACCTGGAGGGTGAAAATAGATTTGTGGTTCTCTAACCAACACCTGAAGGGTAAAATAGAGTGGAGGTTCTCTACCTATAAAAGACTCACATTTCTCTGCTACATCGGTGTGATTAAGCAGCATCTATACAGGATTTTCTGCCTTGATGTGGCAACAAAAGAAGAGTCACTATTATTTAGTGCAATAATTAGAGAGAGAGTCTCCAAGGAGTGGATGTAGGTCAGGTTGACTAAATCACTATAAATTATGGTATATTCATTCTAATTATTTTTTATACTTTATTTTTTATAATTATATGCGTGGTTCAAAAATCTATTTTATTTCATTATTGTTAAATTTTTTTTATTTTTATATCCGCTGTATTGATTATCGTGTGTGGGTTTGAAAAATTTTTTAAAGAATTTTTTTAAGTAAATATTTTTTTAAAATATCTAATTCATCTTCCCTCCTTATTTGCCTCGGGCTAGTTCTTAAAGGTCTAACAACCTTCATGAACTTTCAAGTGGTATTAGAGCAAGATTCATAAATTAAGTTTTAGAAAACTTTTGAAAAAAAATTAATGACTAACTTTGAAAATTGTAATACTATAGAAGGATATTCAATCACACGATCATCTCTATTTGATAATATTCCTTTTGATTAAGCCCAACTGAACACTAAATGCCTAAATAATTTCTTTTATGCTATGAAATCTAAAAATTATATATGTGTACTACATGTACTACTATTAAAGAAATTTGGGGTAGATTATGCATTACTTACTAAGGAAAAAGTGAAGTGAAACAAACTAGATTAAATTTTTCGCTCCATGAATATAAACTCTTTCACATGAAACCTAGCAAATCTATATCTGAACTATATACTAGGTGTGCACAAATCATCGCATATCTCTATTTTTTAGGTAAAAAATTATCAAATTCTAAAAAAGTAAATAAGATTATGTATTGTTTACCTTAAAATAATATTGTTATTACTGAATTCAAGGATCTAAATGTTTATTCTATTGATAACTTGCTTGGATCACTCATTGCGTATGAGTAAGGAGTGAGACAAAGATAGCTTAATGCAGGAAAAAGAAAGAAGGAAAAAAACTGTAGCTATAAAGGTTAATGATTCAAACAATTTGTCTTATGAAGAAAAGGTAGATATCACACTGATGGCTCGACAGTTCAAAAGCTTTCTGAAGAAAATGCAAAAGTGATAAAAGCATTGGAGCAAAGGTTAAAATTATAAAAATTCTAATGCTTCTTCTAATATTATCTGTTATGAATGTAGGAGACTAGGGCACATTAAAACTAATTGCCCATATCTTAAAAATCACCAAAGCAAGGAGAAGATTAAATAAAAAGCTAAGTTCTATAAAGATAAGCAAATATCTCATAAAGCCTTTTTAGCCAACTCCACTTCAGATTCATATAGAATATAAGCAAAAGAAGAGGTGTCAAGTTTGTGTTTAATGGTAAATAACTATCTTGATTTGTTTAATAAAGACGAGGTATGTCAACTTTAATACGATGAATTACTTGATGTTTTAGAAATGATTCATGATTCTTACATGAAACTAAAAAAGAAGCACGGTAGTTTGAAAACTGAATGCTCAATTCTTGAAAAAGAAAATGAAATGCTCAAAAAAGATGGTTCTGATTTAGATAAAGATCATACAGCTTTACTGGATAAGTTTAATAAGATGAATAAGAAATTTACTATTTTATCTAAAACACAAGATTATTTAAAAGTATTGCATCTTGATTTAGAAAAATCATTTAAAGAGTTAGAAGAATTAGTTAATATTTTGGATCTTAGTGAGCACTCTTTAAAAATTAAAATAATTGCTCTTAAAATTGCTAATGAAATTTTATTAGAAAAAATAAAGGCTTTTCAAATTAAACTTATTCTTAAGTACTCATTTAGTTATGCATCTCATAAACTTAGGAATTGGAATCATAACTATCATAGGTTAGTTATCCCTTTTCTTGATATTAGATGTTTTTCTTGTGGCATGTTAGGACACATTAGCCAAACTTGCACAATCCACCGTTGAACATATTTAGTGTGGAGGCCTAAGTTGCATCAAACACAACATAACATGCATTCTGATGATTTATCCAAATTCAAGAAGGGACCCAAACTCACTTGGGATCCCAAAACTGTTCTTCCATGATCTTTAGATTTAAGAGCTTTTACATGAGACCCAGTGGGAGCATGTGATTTTCAGGCTTGATATTTATTTCCTGTCACTTGAAAAACCATTCGTGAGTTTCTCAACATATATGTTTTATCTTATATTTTTGTTTATTTATGACTTTATTTAATATTTTTCTTTTTACTCAATTTGTTTATATTAATGATTTTATTTTTGTTCTTATTTTGTTATTTTGGTTTTGTTGTTATCATTCTTTATGATTATGTCTTGATCATCACATAAGCCACTTTATTGAATCTCACTATTCTTTTCCTGCAAAATAAAAATATGATCATCTATCATATTGTACAAACCACCTTCGTACTGTACGATCCATATAATATTGCTTTGATCATAACCCTTGACTTAATGGATGAACCATATTGAATCTATGATTGACAATCGTATTGTATAAACACCTGTTCTTCTGGATGATATACATTTCAATCAAGATTGGGATGAATTCATTTTGATTGATATGACATTTATTTTTGATCATATTATACGAACACCTGTTTATATTATATGAACCTTTTAGTCAAAGGTTGCACTGCCTGACTCCTTGGGACGATCTCCCTGTCTATAATCATCTTATATAGTGTATGTTCATATTGTAAAATCAGACAAACTTATTAACCTATCGTCTAGCTGAATTGATTACTCATGATCGTCCCATACGATCTCACAATTATATTATACGATCTCTTGGAATTCTTTTTAAACAACCCTAATTCATTCAAATTCTTCACACAATCCTTCTAATCTATTTTCTTATAATCCCAATCTGTGTAATGGGTGGTGGTGGAAAGCGTATTCACCAAAGCCATGCTACTTCCTCCTCTCATAACCCTACTGATGATCATTTTCTATCGGCTTCCAATGAGGCTGCTTACTATAAATACAAAGAAGCCAAGATCATTCCTTCTAAGCTTCTTAATCAATAAGCCTTAAACTTTATAGTAATGAACCTTTTCAATTTCACTACACTTCAATTCCTTCTGACATTGGCCTATCCTTTCCACTATGAAATCTTTTACGAGTTCCTTGCAAATCTTAGGATCAGTGGGGATTCAACTGTAATGTCTTCTCCTATTTGTAGTCAAAATGTGATAATAACCAAAGAGGATATAGGAATCCATCCTGAGCTAAACACCCAAGGAAATAGACCCCTTTCCATGGCCTCCATATCTAATTTTTATTGGAGTGCTATAAATCTCCTGCTACGAAATGTTGCTCTGAACTAACACCAACCTTTGGTTCACACTGTTAATCAAAATGCCAAGGTTATCCAGTACGTTCTAAGAATATTAGTCATCCTTAAAGTTGGAGATCGGGTAAACATCACTCCCTTACTTTCAATTATCACTAACTTCATAATGTTAAACACCCAAATGGATGAAGACCAAATGTTAATGAATTACATCCAAATCTCACTTCCATTTGACTCTCATCTACTAGAAGAAAGAAAAACATCACTCTAGGACATGTGATTGGGTATATCTTGGATAAAAACTTATAGCATCACATATCATGCTCCTCCTAACCACACTCCAATATTCCTTTCATATGCCTCCTTTTGTATTCTTTTTTATAGGGAATAAGAGCCAGAATGTCCTCTATTTAATAAAGAATGAGATGATGCCCCTGTAGTTGATCCTACACCGCACCACCTCCTCACCACTACCCATATGAGGAGTTGATTCAACATTTTGATAGACTTGAGACTTGCCAGGATCAAAATAGTAAACCCATCATGATAATGATATGGGTTAGTTCAGGGAGCAATTTGGAATTATCCAATACTAGTTCACCTCCATTCAACATTAGTATAACAACTTTATTCAGTTCTTCCAATCACATCCACAACCACCATCTGATCAGGATCCACCTTTGCTTTAGTTATTTTTTGTTTATTTTGGTTTTGTTGTGTTATACTTTTCTTTTTTATGTTTTTGATTAATTTACTTTGTTTTGTAATGCATTTTTCTTTTAGTCATTCTTTTGTTATCAAATATTTTTCTTTTAATAATAATAATAAATATTTTGTGTTTACTTTATCTGTCAATTGATATTGTATTTCTTTCAAGTAGGTTCTTGTATTTCTTCTAATGTTGGGTGTTTTATGTGCTCTTTGCTTGAGAAATTTTCAGTCAAGAAACATCTTATTTCTATTGATCGTATTCCAGAAATTAAATTGTACTATATGACTTCTATCATACTGTATGAATGAACTCTTATTGCAATGCTCTTTTTTGGTTTTAATAAAAATACTTATATTCTTACTTAAATGTTAGATAAGAAATTGCTAACTTGATAAAAACTAAAAGAATAAAATTCATGAATTTATATATCTCTGTTTATTTCCTTAACATGTTAATTCTTTGTGTGAACTTAAAAATCTAAATTGAATTGGAGTTGAGATGGTTGAAATGAAAACATTCTCATTCAACAATATTTTTTATATCATGAATATATTCTACAATTTGATAAATGAGATTCATTATTTTTCATAAATCAAGCTATTTATTCATATTAGAAAGGCCAGGTTTTCTTTGTAGACTATTGCTCCCTAAATATAAGAGAGTGAGTTACTATTTTGTTCTTTTTGGAAGATAATCCTTATAACTGAGATTTTTAAAGATTTCGAAAGGAAGCAATTTGCAAAAAAAATCAAAAGAGGAAAAAAAATGAGCCTAAAATCAAAAGATGCACAATAACGCCAAAAATAAAAGACGCATAAAGTGTATCAAAAATAAAAGATGTGCAAGCACCAAAATTCAATACGAGCCATGAAATGAGCCTAACTTAAATTCGTTTTTCTTTCTAGTAAATCGTTAAATCTTAAGAAATTCCTAAATTTTATAATATGTTTAATACTTGATTTTTGAAAATCTTGGTTTTTTATTCATCACTTTTATAGTAATGTTATATTTGATATATTTCATGCTAGTAGTTTGCAAAGTTTCAATTTTCCTATCTAATTATAATTCTTGAATTAGATTTTTGCTTAAATAAAGGATTTTTTCTTTTGAAGATGTTAAGATGGGTATATAAATTCTAGAATCTAAATCATTTGGTTGTAATAAAATCAACACTTATCTTATTTGTCTTTTCTATTTGTAGAGTAAACTTATTACTTTTTGAAAAATGACCACGAGAGTTCTCAATTTATTTGATTATTTTTTTTATTTTACCTTGAGTTGTTAGTCATTTTCAATCTGTTTGTTTTAGGCTTTCCCATTTCTATTTATATTTTCCTTCCTATTCTTTTTTCTCTTTTTGTGATATCTAAAGGGAGATAAGTAATTAATTATTTGTTGTTGTTGTTGTTGTTTGCATATTATTTTTCTAAGAAAATCTTTTTACACTCCTTTTTCTTACAATTAGTATTCATCTAAGGGGGAATTTAGAGAAAAGTATCTTTTTAAAAATAAAATAATAATAATTGCCATCATTAAAAAGAAGGAGATTATTATAAATCAGATTCAAGTACTATAGTTTTGATGATAACAAATATTATTATGCCTATTACTACTTTCTCCTATTTCTGTGATATCTACAAGCATCTGTCTGGATTCTCTATGGCTCCGAAGAAGTTCTTCAACAAAGATCATGGTTCTTTGACCATCACCTGAAGGGTGAAAATAGAGTTGTGGTTCTCTGTCCATCACGTAAAGGATGAAAATAGAGTTGTAGTTCTCTTTTCATCACCTGGAGGGTGAAAATAGAGTTGTAGTTCTCTAATCATCACTTGGAGGGTGAGAATATAATTGAGGTTCTTTGCTTGTAAAAGAGTCACGATTCTCTGCCACACCGGGATTGTGAAACAATGTCTGTATAGGCTTCTCTACCTTGTTGTGGGAGCAAAAGGAGAGCCACAACTATTTAGTGCAATACTTGGATAGGAGTCTCCAAGGAGTGGATATAGGTTTTTTTTTTGAAAGAAATGCATCATATAGCATTAAACCCAAAAAGAAAACTAAGTACAAGTAATAAGGGGATCAAATTCTTCCTTGATTAAGCCTAACAACAAGGAAGGAATGCGATCAAAAGAAGAGCTATCAAAGAAAAAGCTATTCTCCAATGCCATAGTAGCACAACAATTTGCTACTTTATTACAATCTCTATAAGCATGGAGAAAGACAACCTTATTAAAATCATGTAAAAAACATAAATTCTTATGTGGCCACTTACCCACATTCTCCTTATTATCCTTCAAAGAATTCTGAATGAATTTGATGATATTCATATTATCACTTTCTATGATAAGCCCTTTACATTCCAACTGTTGCAACCCATGACCCCGAGTTTGAGATTTTGATGATGCCAAATAATGATTGTTTTGAAACAACTTTTCATTGGATATTATTTTATTTGCTATTGTCCTTGAGTACTAACATTTCAGGAAGATCACAAGTGACTCAGGATGAAAGGAAGACTCAAGAACGGGTGGATTAGGAGTATGAGTCAGATATTGTATTTTTCAATTTATTATATTTTTATTTTCTTGAGTCTGGCCGCAAAATGCATAAGAGTTTGAGCAACCATGCACACACACAGAGGGAGAGTTTGTTTTTAAATGTAAAATGTAATAGAATTTCTTCTCTGGAGATCGTACTGTATGATTTTAATTCGTACCGTACGATCCGATCTATGTGGACGATTCTGTGAATAGATCGTACTGTAAGAATATATTCGTACTGTACGATATGTTCAGATCCAAAACCCTAGCCGTAGTTTAGTTTAAGTAAGTGATTTTGCAACGAAAGTTTTTGTACTGTACGATTTATTTTAAATACTTACTTAAATTAACCAGTGATTAGTGCATGAAATCCAGGCTTAATTATAATTTGAACATCATACTGTACGAAACAATTCGTACAATACGATGAACAGAGATGAATTATAATCATCCTGAACGATAAGTTGTTTTTGTCTCATCATACTGTACGATGTATATCGTACCATACGATGAACAGAGACGATGTTTGATCGTCCCGACTATCGTCTTGTACGAACTGTGTTGTTATGGATCGTACCGTATGATTTATTATCGTACAGTACGAACATTTTTTGAACTGTTCGTAACACTTCGTACCAGGACAAAGTCTATTTATGAATATTGTATTATACGATTGTAGAACCGTACTGTATGATAGTAACGGCTACTTTAAGATTTCAGGGTTTTTGGAGCCCGTTTTATGTATAAAAAAAAATATTTTTTTTTTTAAAAAAAAATTATTACAGAGAGGGAGAACGTGGTTAGAGAGGGATTCCAAGGGAGAGATCTCTAGATAAGTTCTTTAGGGTTGAGAGAGGAAGGAG